TCTTCAATGGGAGGTTTCACGTCCAAATTATCATCTGCCGTGCTATCTCCCTATTGTAATTACAAGATTTGTCATTTCCACAAAATAGTTGAACTCTCAAATCTCAAAACACGCATAAAGCACCAGATTTGCAGTCCAATGAACGAGCATTAAATAGTGTCAAATCCAGTAGTCCTTAAATGCATAAATCCATTGCTTGCATAGAGAGTGGAAGCTGATGCTTTTGTCTATCGTTTTTTACCTCTTCAAATTGTCAGTTTAGTTATAGGCCTACTACATGCTTGGCATCAAATTTTAGGGAAACGAAAAAATATGCCAAGACTTTGTTTCTTATTTAACTTTACAGAGTCAAAACATGGTTACAACCTTTCAAAATAAATTGTGAATAATCCAATTATTCATAGTGTACCAAATGGAGGAGACAGTGGAAATTGCAGCGATGGTGCCATTAAGGGGATAAATGTTGAAATAAAGGGGCTAATTAAGCGATGTGTTTTGAAAACTACAAAATACAAAATAAACACTAAGTAACCCGCTAAGGGTGAGTGTCAGTAAAGCATACCTCTGGTTTTACATGATCAGTTGCATCGTCATTGTTCTCTAACAATGGCGTGACAGCATCATCAGGTTTGGTAAGGGTGATATTCCCCTGCACTGCAGGAACTTGCTGGCCAACCTTGTCATCCTTTAGTCCATCACCAAATGAAAGCTTATGTTTAGAAATGTCAGAAATTACAGCTTCCGAAGAGTTCTTTTCAACAGAAGAGTTTGCTGCAGGTTCTCTGACCACAGAGTCACTCAACTTCTTATTCTTCATACTCTGAATGTCAGCCTTGGAAGTCTTCGGACCTCTGTCCTCAGAAAATTCCAATTGTTTTGCATCACTCGGGGGTGTAAACACTAGTAATAAAAATTAAAACACAAAAGTAGGAGTTAACAGGAGCATGTCTACCACTGCAAGATTTCACCCACTGCTATATTTCTTACCATTTGTAAGTTATCAAAATAAAAAACTGATATGTTCCATCACATAAAGAAAAGTAAACACAGAAAGCATTTAAAGCATCTAAAGCACAGCAAATCACCTGATTTAGACGATTGTGCGGTTCTTTTCTTTGAATCAGCCTCTTTATCAGCAGCTCTAGCTTTCTTCTTGCTACTCCGATCTTTGGATGTCCCCAAATCGTCCTTTTTTCGCTTGCCGGAATGGAATACAACAGGCCGAAGTAAGCTTCTCTCCTTCTTCACACCACTCTGACCACATCTAAGATCATCAACCTCATTATCCCACCTTTTCGTTTCTTTCAAAGACACATTCTTGTCATACCCGCCATCCTCTTCTCGGCCCCTCATCCCCACCAAAGCAGCCACTGGGTTTGCCAACAAAGAGAACAGAACACCAGCACCTTTATTAACAGGGTTCTCATTGTCTTCGTCAAATCTAGCATCATCCTCCTTCTTATCATCCCAACAAGGGAATTCCCTATACTGAAAATTGAACTTCTTGGGCACATACCCAGTAGACTTCCACAACTCGGGAGTAAAAACCGACGATAATCCACCAAATATAGCAGGGTCCCCACCCGGAATTCCCTGAACATGTACCCTCTCCTCCATCGGTATATCAGTCCAAAGCCTAAAAGGGCGGCGAGTAGGCACATTTGGCGGATGGGCATAAGAACTCTCCATTCTGACAGTCTTAGTAGGAAGCTCCACCAACAACTGCGCAACCTCAGTTTCCTCGCTCTCATTCCTATTGTTCCTAGTCTTACATTTATCACAAACGAAATTATCATCTCCCTTCACGTACCTAGAGCACCTGGTGTGCACCCATACGCCACACTCGTCGCAATTGACCATCTCTTCGCCATCGTCGAAATTCACACCGCACAGGCAGTCCACGGTCCACGACCCGTTAACCCAGTCGTCCGGAGGGTCAGAGTTCTGAAGGCGGTGCGATCGACCCTTCATAATTCCAACCTCCAATCTCCTGAAACCAAAAAACCCTAGTCTCCTCGCAATCAAACAAACAACCCCTAAACCTAAACCTAAGCCTAAGAAATCCCAATTCACATCATTCTCAGTCTGGATGCATTGTTTTCAAAATCTCTAACAAGACTACGAATTTCGATAATTCCCCAGAATACAACTCCCAAGCATCGAAAGATTGGTGTTTGAAATTTTGTGTACCTGGAATCTGGAAAGCTATTGCTTCTCTTTGCTGGGGCGAAGAGCTTGAAAAAACGGATCTTTATCCGCACGGACGAAAATGGCTTCTTCTCACGAACGATTAAGCGGAACTGAAAAAGATAGAGCCAGATTTCTTTTTTCTTTATTTTTTTTTCTGAGTTTTGTGAATTTGTGTTGGCGTCCGTCGAGTTTTGACTCGTTACCGCGGCTCGGCTCCAAAATATCGCTTCTCGTCAAAAGACGAGCCGGGCCGTGATTCATCGGAGCGTTCAGACTAAAACTCGAAACGACAGCGTCTAGTAAGAATAAGGTTGATTGAGTCTTCTTTAGAGGCTCATTGGGCTTTTGAATTTTGGATCAACTTATGGTCCAATGGACTTTTGTTTTATTTTCCACAGACCTCTGCAAAAGTCCAACCTTTTATTTTATTTTATTTTATTATGTTTTTATTGTGACATGCCACATGTGATGTGAGCTAGCGTAAAGACAAAGCAGCATTGCAAATTGTAAAGCATATTATGAAATACAACAGAATAAAAAATGGTAGAAAGTAGACGTCTCTTTTGAATATTCTAACGTAGGGGAAATGAGAAGAAAAAAAATAAATAAATACAGAATGAAATTATTTCTGCCCAACCTTATCTGATATGTAGAGTTTGTAAGTGATTGCACGTACTTGATGTTTACTTTCAAACGTTCCAATTAATTAAGGTCGACAGTAAATTTGGGTTATGAGAGAGACTCAAATCTATTTGGTTTTATCTCATTGTTCAACGCGAATTCTATGTGGTACATATCTCGTGATATGTTAATTTACTTCAATACTTTTTTTTTCTTTATTAAATTTATGCACTAAACTATTTAAAATAGGTCGATCTACTCGTATTCTTAACAATTTCATCTAAAAACGTCAGTCAAATACAATCACATGTTCAATAAGTAACTCATTTTGAGAGCCTCCTGATAATTTTACGGTATACTCATTACAAAAAAGTAGCCGTAGATGTCATTTTGAAAAGTATCGTATTCAAATTAATAAGCCATTAAAGAGAAATCCAAATCAAAAGTGTACTGATTGTGGTACATAATGTTTTTCCATACATTTCTATCATAACATTGCAATGTTTTAATGTCATATTTGATCACGGATACTTATTTCTCACTCACTAGACCCACCATTTAATTTCAGTTATTGAGTTACTATCAAGCGAGTGATAATACTTTCCAACCAGGACCATCTTTTCATATTGCTACAAATCCGAACCCATCATTTGATTTGCCACAAAATTTAATCTTTCCTTTAAACCCTTGTTTTGAATTATGTTGTTCTTTCCCCATGTCATGCATGAAATGGACCGTTTGCCAACTACAAAAATGGACAAAAACAAAGTAAAAAAAATATAATATATACAAAAATAAGAATGAGATGGATGTACAGCGTTCCAATACACATGCCAAGGGAGCATATTCTTATGTTAAGCAGTGAAGATACCGCTTCACATTATCAGCCAAAGGTCCTTTCTTTTTTCACCACGAGGTAAATTTGTCCTATCACCACGGGGTA